CTAGGTCAAAACAAGTGACTCATTGTATGCTGTTTCGCTGTAGCGCCCACACACTGAGAAGTAAAAACAGAAACAACCTCTTCTCTAGAACAGGGGGTCGCGAGATGATTACAAATAAATGAATATTTGTATTATTATTAATAATAACGTGTGCATAGAAATGTTTCCGGTGCAGACTGGCCATCTGTATGTGATTAACCCACATATCCTGGATTGTAAAGCAATCTTCCCCATCCTGGGGGAGAATCGCCCCAGACCCCCCTTCTGGGGTTGGGTTTTCAGCATGTGTGCCTTTTATGTTAGTTCAGCTTTGATTCCATCAGCTCATTAAACCTTTTTTTTTAAAGCATACTTTAGTTCTGTGAAGGGATATAATCATATGTATTTTCTCCATTCCTGACATCTCTCAGTGGATGTCTGCTCACCACCTCAAGCTCAACCTTGACAAGACTGAGCTGCTCTTCCTCCCGGGAAAAGATTGTCCCACTCTTGACCTAACAATCAACATCGGCACCTCAGTTGTTTCCCCGACTCAGACTGCAAGGAATCTGGGTGTGACCCTAGATAACAACCTGTCCTTCACTGCAAACATCGCTGCTACAAACCCGTTGCTGCAGATACACGCTTTACAACATCAGGAAGATACGTCCCCAGCTGACTCAGAAAGCGACTCAGGTTCTGGTCCAGGCTCTCGTCATCTCACGCCTAGACTACTGCAACTCCCTCCTGGCTGGTCTACCTGCATGTGCCATCCGACCTCTGCAGCTCATCCAGAATGCAGCGGCTCGTCTGGTCTTCAACCTTCCTAAATTCTCCCACACCACTCCGCTCCTCCGCTCCCTTCACTGGCTTCCGGTAACTGCTAGAATCCACTTCAAGACACTGGTACTTGCTTACCATGCTGCGAATGGATCTGGCCCTTCCTACATCCAGGACATGGTTAAACCGTACACCCCAGCGCGTGCACTACGCTCTGCATCAGCCAAACGACTCGTTGCGCCCTCGCTGCGAGGGGGACCCAAGTTCCCATCGGCGAAAACACGTGGGTTTGCTGTCCTGGCTCCAAGATGGTGGAATGAGCTCCCCATTGACATCAGGACGGCAGATAGCTTGCACATCTTCCGGCGCAAACTGAAAACTCATCTCTTTCGACTCCACTTCGAGCGTTAGAACTATTAACGAAGCACTTTTATACTAATAAAGGACTGGCTTACCTAAAGCCAGTTGAGTAGCACTTGAAATGTTTGGCTCTATGAAACCTGATGTACTTATATGATTCTGTTTTCTTCAAGGTTGTGTCTTCCTGGTCGAATGTACTTATTGTAAGTCGCTTTGGATAAAAGCGTCAGCTAAATGCAATGTAATGTAATGTAATGTAATGTAATGTTCATGTGTCTTCTCGCAATTATCACTGGCCCCGTGTATCTCCTAATCGATATAACCGGCCTGCTCTCATCTATCCCACATGCTCCACTGAGATCCAACATCTAGTTTCAGGTGGCCTGTGGAATTGCCAGTCAGCTGTTCCTAAGGCTGACTTCATCTCTGGCTACGCCTCCCTGCAGTCTCTGGATTTCCTTGCTCTCACTGAAACCTGGATTACTCCATCTAACACATCCACCCCAGCAGCTCTCTCCACTGCATATTCCTTCTCCCATACACCCAGACCAACTGGCAGAGGAGGTGGCACTGGTCTCCTGCTCTCTCCCAAATGGAGCTTTTCCCTCTTCAAGCTACCTAACTTCACTCCTTCCACCTTTGAATTCCATGCCGTCACAGTAACCCATCCTATACAATTAACCATTGTTGTTCTCTACCGTCCACCAGGCGCCTTGGAGGACTTCTTGGAGGAATTAGATAATCTCCTCTCACACATCCCTGAAACTGGCCCTCCCGCTGTACTTCTCGGAGACTTCAACCTCCAGACAGGGAAGATAGACGAACTAACATCCCTGTTAACCGCCTTTGCTTTCTCACTGTCTCCATCCCCACCGACTCATAAAGCTGGAAATGTCCTTGATCTCATATTCTCAAGGAACTGCGCTACTTCTAACCTCTCTGTAAACCCGCTTCACACATCCGATCACTTCTTCATTTCATTCTCTCTACCCCTTTCCAAACATAACAAACTAATCTCTTCTCATCCTGCACTTGTCCGCCGTAACCTTCGTTCCCTCTCCCCCTCTCCCCCTCTACCTTTGCCTCGTCGGTGCTCTCAGCCCTCCCTTCCTCTGACTCGTTCCAACTCCTGCCTTCAAACTCTGCTGCAGAAACTCTCCTCTCTACTCTCTCATCCACTCTGGACTCGCTCTGTCCTCTCACATCTCGGCAGGCTCGTCAGTCCCCTCCTGCTCCCTGGCTAAATGATGCACTGCGTGCTAATAGAACCGTCCTTAGGGCAGCAGAGCGGAAACGGTGGAAATCCAAACACCATGACGACCTCCTAACCTATCAGGCTCTCTTCTCCTCTTTCTCTGCTTCGATCTCTCTGGCAAAAAGCACTTTCTTTCAAGATAAGATCCAATCTTCCTATTCCAATCCAAAAAAACTATTTTCCATCTTCTCCACCCTCTGGACCCTCCAAAAGCCCCTCCCCCCTCCTCACTTCTGTCAAGCGACTTTGTTACCCACTTTGAAAAAAAGGTTGATGATATTCGCTCTTCTTTTTCTGACTCACCTCTACTCACCGCTGGGTCACCAGACCCTCCTTCCACCAACACACTAACCTCCTTTTCCCCTCTCTCTCCAAGTGAGGTTCTTACCCTCATTACCTCTGCCCGCCCTACCACCTGTCCTCTGGACCCTATCCCTTCAAACCTCCTTCAGACTATCGCTCCTGATATTTCTACCGTTTCTCACCCATTTCATCAACACTTCTCTAACTTCTGGTCACTTTCCAAACAGTCTCAAGGAGGCAAGAGTAAACCCTCTCCTAAAGAAACCCACTCTCAACCCGTCTGATGTTATAAACTACAGGCCTGTCTCTCTCCTCCCGTTCCTATCTAAATCACTTGAACGCGCTGTCTTTAAACAACTCACCTGTTATCTCCATCAGAACAACCTTCTGGATCCGCACCAGTCTGGTTTCAAGGCAGGTCACTCCACAGAAACTGCTCTCATTGCTGTCACGGAGGAACTGCACACTGCCAAAGCATCATCCCTCTCCTCTGTCATCATCCTGTTGGACCTGTCTGCTGCATTCGACACGGTGAATCATCAGATCCTCCTTCGCACTCTCCAAAAACTTGGAGTTTCAGGCTCTGCACTTTCCCTCCTCACCTCATATCTGAAAGACCGTACCTACAGGGTGACTTGGAGAGGGTCTGAGTCCGACCCTTGTCAATTAACTACAGGGGTCCCTCAGGGCTCTGTTCTTGGTCCCCTCCTCTTCTCCCTGTACACAAACTCACTCGGATCAGTCATTAGCCCGCATGGTTTTTCATACCACTGCTACGCTGACGACACCCAATTAATTCTGTCCTTTCCCCGCTCAGAGACCCAGGTCGTCGCACGCATCTCTGCTTGTCTAGCTGACATCTCTCAGTGGATGTCTGCTCACCACCTCAAGCTCAACCTTGACAAGATTGAGCTGCTCTTCCTTCCGGGAAAAGATTGTCCCACTCTTGACCTAACAATCAACATCGGCACCTCTATTGTTTCCCCGACTCAGACTGCAAGGAATCTGGGTGTGACCCTAGATAACAACCTGTCCTTCACTGCAAACATCGCTGCTACAACCCGTTGCTGCAGATACACGCTTTACAACATCAGGAAGATACGTCCCCAGCTGACACAGAAAGCGACTCAGGTTCTGGTCCAGGCTCTCGTCATCTCACGCCTAGACTACTGCAACTCCCTCCTGGCTGGTCTACCTGCATGTGCCATCCGACCTCTGCAGCTCATCCAGAATGCAGCGGCTCGTCTGGTCTTCAACCTTCCTAAATTTTCCCACACCACTCCGCTCCTCCGCTCCCTTCACTGGCTTCCGGTAACTGCTAGAATCCACTTCAAGACACTGGTACTTGCTTACCATGCTGCGAATGGATCTGGCCCTTCCTACATCCAGGACATGGTTAAACCGTACACCCCAGCGCGTGCACTACGCTCTGCATCAGCCAAACGACTCGCTGCGCCCTCGCTGCGAGGGGGACCCAAGTTCCCATCAGCAAAAACACGTGGGTTTGCTATCCTGGCTCCAAGATGGTGGAATGAGCTCCCCATTGACACCAGGACAGCAGAAAGCCTGCACATCTTCCGGCGCAGACTGAAAACTCATCTCTTTCGACTCCACTTCGAGCGATAGATTTATTAACAAAGCACTTTTATACTAATAAAGGACTGGCTTATCTAAAGCCAGTTGAGTAGCACTTGAAATGTTTGGCTCTATGAAACCTGATGTACTTATATGATTCTGTTTTCTTCAAGGTTGTGTCTTCCTGGTCGAATGTACTTATTGTAAGTCGCTTTGGATAAAAGCGTCAGCTAAATGCAATGTAATGTAATGTAATGGATATGAGGGATATATGCACTGTACTTCACTTTTATTAATATTGTATGCTGAAAAGCGTATATATTACAGCACGATTTTTTGTTGAATAGATTTGAGTGCTTCAAAATGTTGGGTCGCGATGTATTGACCAAGTAAAAAGTGGGTCCCGAGGCCTGACCAGTTGAGAACCACTGCTCTGGAGGATGGTACCTGTACAATATCTTTCATTAAAGTCAGACAGTGAAGAACAGTTTCACACTGTTAAATCGTTTTATAAAGAGTTTGAAAATTGATTATGCTCCGTTTACTTCATAGGGCGATTCTTCTACCAAAGACTAGTTGAATTCATGTCAAGGTAAGCCATCATATGTGTACTTCCAAACCATGACAGCGTTGAATGATTTACTTTGTTAAAAACTTGTCTGTTGCAGTTGAAATGTAATAATAGAGACTTGTAAGTCCCATACCAAATAACCCACTATTACTGACTCAGAAACAGCACACGTCAATATATGATGCTCTAATTTTATGCTCAGCAAGTCACCAATGAATCATTTTCTGGAACTTCACAACAGGAGTTTGAATTATCAGCGGACAACAGCCGTGGAGCAATATTCATGAAAGTCACCATGAAGCCCGCTGACAAAAGCTCCACGTGAGCTCCTCTGGATTGCAAAAAGGTTCTCGTAAACACAGTGTCATTATTGTGCCCTCGCAGCAGTCAATAGGTAGTTGCCACAGCAACCTTTCTCTGGATGCCTTCAGCGTTATTGAAGACATTAGAAAACATCCTGTGCCCGGTTCCAGTCGGCATTGTTTAGAGATCAAATTGATAGACCAATATTAATTCCTGGACACGATCTTCCCAGGAGGTTTTGGAGTGGATAGATTGGATTCAAGTCCATTGTTGCCTCTCTGTTGAAGCATGGAAAGCATCCAGTGTTAAAATTGAACGTCGGAAAAACACAGAGCAGAGTGTGGTTTTGCTATCGGCTTACATGGCGTGATAATTGGCTGTGATTCATGACTTCTCAAACTTGATGTTGTGTTTCCTCTCAGTGGTCCGATGCGAGCGTACCTTTTAGCCAGAGAGGATGCCATACGTCACTGGAGAGAACTGATGGGGCCAACTAAAGTTTTCAGAGCCAGATACACAGCGCCCGAGTCTATCAGGGGCCAATTTGGACTCACAGACACACGAAACACCACTCATGGCTCAGGTAGGAGGAATGCATTGACATACAGTATGTAAAAAAACACATTGCTTTTGTATTATTACGAGCTGTCAAATGACATATTGATTACCGAGTTTTTTAAAATTGTATTATCTCATTCCTCTTCAGATTCCATTGAGTCGGCACGGAGAGAAATCGATTTCTTCTTCCCAGACTTCTGTATGGAGGAGTGGATGGACAAAGAGGAGCCATTGTTCAGATCTGGACAAATACATTATGACGATCAAAAACAGATACACACTCTTTCAACCCAAAGCTGACCTCAGAACTGCTCAGAATCCCTCAAGACTACGTAGAAAGTCTGCAATTGTTTGTCCATTTGCTCACACAAATGCCATCTGCCAGAAAAGATGCTTCAATCCTACATGCTCTGTATAAAATTGATTATGTGACCATCCCTAAACGTACATGTGTCAAGTGCCAATATGCTTATCCCTAGTCTTTGTACTTTCCTTGACTATAGAAAGCTTATAAGTCGTATAAATGAAGTACCATTAATGTTTTCGTTTAATTTATTAAACAAGAAATTACTATATAAGAAAATGCAACACCTTTCTGTAAAAACCGACACAACGTAGAGGACAATGTTCCACACCGTTGGCACTAACTCCCGTCCAAGCTTCACTGTAAATAGTGCAATCATCACAATCATTTTCCTGAGCCCTACAGATCGTAGCACAGCAGCAACTACATGTTGTGTATTCATATATGTTGGGATGAACAATTACAAATTATATTTGATTCATTTGATTCAACGCATCTATCCTCAAAGCCTCCTAACATGTGGATGAGAACGCGTTTTAGATTGTAGTTCACTTAAGAAATTCAACATTTGCCCAAAAGCTATTTCCTGTCCTCGTATGTTTTTCAGGTCTGATACTGTATGTACTGTCATGTTTTGTATTTTCTATGACTAATCTACAGTTTATCATGTCAATGTAGTCACAGGAACCATAACATTATACAGTGTATACTTTTAAAGAAGAAAATCCGCCATGTTGTCAGGACTAGCTATATTGTACAGCTCAGAGTCTCATCCCTCCTGCGCTTCCATCAGCCGTCAGATTTGAAACAAAGACTCCATCAGTTCACTTTGTCATCTCTTTTAGTTCAGCTTCTTCCAGTGTCCCCTGCTCTCAGGTGTTTTCTGTGTTCACCTGTTTGAGGTTTTCCGAGGGTTTCATAACCTCGTAGGTGGTGAGGGACTTCTTCACCTTCCCGTTCTTGTCCACCTGATGGATGCTCTGCGTCACTGTGATGGTCACCTGCTTGGTCGACATCCGATTGTCCTGCCATTTAGTCTGATGATGATGAAGGAAGGAGGAACATGGGATATTACAAATGTATACCAACTTTGTTGTAAAGATTGTGCATGTGTTTAGATTGCAGATGGTGGCATGAGAGCTACACATTTGTTTGTTTATATATACGTTTAATTAAATTGATTAACTGATCATTTATGGACTATATTTAGCACAGACAGGTGCCAACATTCTGACAATGTTAACTTGTGTACAAATATGTATCAATTAATCTTACTTGATCAAGAGAAGCATCAACATGTCCATATTTGAGAAGCTGGAACCAGGAAATGTTTCCTTTAAAATATACTAGATTGCTGCTTACCTTTCTGACAATCTAGTTATGAATTTGATCACTTATTGTTTCAGCTCCAGCAATGAGCAGGACATACATTGGTAAAAGTGAATGGTTTGATTCACACACCTGGCAAATAATGGTGTTTCCCACAATGCAATACTCATACCCGAGAAATGGATACATAAGAAAAAGTGCTGTGACATATTCTAAATGTGGGGAAAGTCTTACAATCTCCTCAGTGTGTAGCACACTTCTGCGCTGCACTGTGGTTCCAGATGACAGTATCACCGCCTCTTTGGGGGGAGAGCCCATTAGAGCAGGGGGGCTGCCCGGCTTCTCGTCGCTCAGACTGGCTTCAGACACGGCCGAGCAGACCTTCAGGTACGCCTGAGCAGGAAGAGGGAGGCCTTCCTCGAAGAAATCTGGAACTACAAGAAAACAAAACCTCAGCTTGCTTTACAATCCAGGATATGTGGGTTAATCAGTAACCCTCATACTGGGGTTCCTGTTACCTGATGGGATTACACATGTTTAACAAAAGCACACATGACAAGGTCCTTCATTCATAGGTGTGTGATACTCGGGTAACACAAATATTTTTACTTGAAAACATACATTTAATAGCATGAATACCATAAACAAAATGTATAAAACATGAATTATATTGACTTCTAATAGGTTTTCAAGAAATGATATAAAGAATAGGGATGAAAGACTCATAAGGGAATAGCAGAAGGGAGTTTTCTTTTCCTATATTATTTGACATGCTAAAATAAGAAGTAATTAAAGAGCTTAAACAGTAGCATGTTTGTACATGAAATAGATAATAAAGCTGATAAAGTGTTACTGGATCTCTATAGACAGGGTAATCAGGGGATTCTGCTCCATGATAATTGCTATTTACAAATCTGGAATCCCCTTTCTCAGCTTTTCAGCACATCACAGGTTTTTTCCCATTCAAAATAACCAGCCATGCCAATATAACTGTTATAGTATCCCACTGATTATGATTCCTGTAGTGTAGAAGTGTGTTATTTGTAAATAGCACTGCATTAGTCACAGGTCTGAGCTTTCTGATGGCTTACAGGTGCATTACTGCCACCTCTGAACTACAGTGTGTGAAGTGTCATGAATAATGGAAACACTCGGAATATCACTCTGGAGCGGTATTTGGTGTGCATGTCAAGTGGGAGTTAAATCATCTGGATGATGGCATTTTACGGATGTTCACCTTCCTCAGCAATGTGTGAACATACAGTAAATATTCAGGCTTTTTAGGGACTCACCAAAGACAGAACAAAGACTTTTTAAAGAAAATGCACGGTTAATGTTAAAGATAACCACTACATACTACAGATGTACATTTAATTTACATTATAGTCTCACAACTGTTTAATACAAGCTTTGTGGTTGATAGTTGCTGATTCATTTGGCCGATTGTGTTTCTGTTTTATCTCCTCTGAGTAGACCTTAACTGAATTGCCTTCACAATTACATCAAGGCTCCTCGGCCTTCATTCAACAGCAGCTGTATCTGTTGCCATGAGAGCCAAGTCCTGTCTCAGGACCGTGGCTTTTGATGTTGCCTATTACGTGCATTTACTGATTAATTTCCTCCCGGCTTCAAATAAAGCACACCCGCAATTTAGTGCATAACAAGAAGAAGAACAATGGCAGAATGGTAGTGGGATGCATTTGTTTCTGAGTTGTATGGTGACTAACTGAAAAAATGGTTTGCTGCACATCCTTGGGCCGTACATAACCCTGAGCTACAGCACGAGGGGCATTGCAACAGTTTTTCAATTTCCTTTTTCAATTTGCTGTGTGCACAATGGCTTGTTGTTTGTAAAAGCCGTGAAAAACCTCTGAAAATGTTTGACGTCAAAAGGAAAACACACACAGGATTTTCCTTACAGAGAGTGTCACACTTCACTTTGATGTTTAGAGTGTTAGGAAGCCCACTCATTCATAATAATGTTACTTACAGCATAAACATGAGCTCTTCTAGCCCGGTGTAAATAAAGGAACAAACAAAAGCACATTTTCAGCCCAAGTAAATAAAAAACATTGCTTATTTTAACGAACATATTCACAATTAAACAGAAACGGATTGGAATTTCACATATACCATACTCTGCAGTCGGAGCCTAACAAAGCACTTATTCATACAACTATAAATGTATTATTCCTTTGTTCAGCAGTTCAATTACTGCCTTTTCCCCGTCTTGAGACCAATTAAGTATTCAGTTATCCAACCACTCGACTCTAATTCCTTCTCCTTACCAGGGGTGATTGTTTTCTCCGATGCGAAGCCAGCCTCAGAGTTTTCGGAGGGGATGCTCTGGATGGAGGACAGGGGGATGTCGGTGTCGGTGCTGGTCAGCCACGTGGACTCCGTCTCCTTGGTCCAGCTCTCCAGGTACCGAGGCTCCAGAGCATCGGTCCTGCTCCCCCCGCAGCCCATAGCTATGCCTCGGGGCGGTGTAGCTTCCCACCTGGACCTTTCTTCAGCACGGATTAAAGGAAAAGCAGAAACAGATTTGATTTACAATGGATTTTGTTGTAGGAAGCTGTGATATCGACTGAGTGACACTTTTCCCTTCTAGACATAAAAGATTCATGATGATTCGGAAACAATATATTTTATTCTTAAGATTACATACACTGCTAAATGATATATTAGAAATGAAGCTACTGGAAAATGTAGTCAAATGTAAAAAGTAAATGTGTATTTTGAGAATAGATTAATGTATTGTGTGTTAAGGAGAGCCCAGTTTAAAATACAATTACTCAGGTTTTGGGAGTGGCAGTGCTGCATCAATACCAATCATAGATACAATTCATAATGACAATTCATTGAACTGTATTTTACCAGGTGTTACAGTTGTGGCCTATGGGTTTTGGGAAATGATATAAGGTATGGTATAGAAGATTTTTTGGCACATAATTGGATGAAAAAAGTGTTGCAGGCCACACATATAATATACTTTACAGTTACATTCTGTACATTTTACCAGAATAAGTCTCATAATACTTACAGAACAGCACGCAGCTGTGTTAAAAACCCAATGTCCTCATAAGATCAGCCTCCAGTGACTTATTTCCTTTAAATAGCAGGTTGAGAGGTCCCTTCTTTGTTGACTCAATCTTGTTTACAGTTCTCCATGAGCATCCAAAGGCACCATCATCACCAAATCCAGCAAGTCACCTGAGAAAGGAAGAGTCAAATCTGTCAGACTGCAATTAAAGCTTTGCTCTGTTTGATGCATAACAAGACTGAATGACTCTCCCATAGAGACACTCATCTAACTCTTTTATGGGATAAGTGCTTGCTGTGTATTGAATGTTGTATTGTTGTATTTGTTCTACAGTTACATATACGTTACGGTTGTTTATAATAAACTGTTCTATATATCTATCAATCTATCTAATCGATATCTAATCAATACCTACCATCAATTAGACACTGATGAATTCTGAATTGTATTGTACATTTCCTATAGATCATTAGATCGCCTGGTGTAGCCTTTAACAATTCAATAACGACAATTAGGTTCCGATTAGGGAATCCAAATAGACACTACAGAAGGTAAAGGCAATGGTAAATACGCAGGACATTAATACCGATATTAGTCCGTATCGCATCATAAACAGCTATTATCGCTACAGGTCAACACAAAATAGCAACTATAGCGTGAAATGAATCAAAAAATAAAACCCTGGATGATGCCAGGCTGAAACGCGAAATACTCCAATGTTCTGTTCGGTTTATATGTGAAAAACGAACACCTTAGAGTAAAATATGATAAAGCCTTACTGGTGTGATTGTATCGCCCCGGCTGCTCCCGCGTCTCGTCGCATCACAGGCGCGTGACATGTTGCCAATAATCAAAATCCTCCGCTCGATAACGCGTCCGTGCACACCACGCGCTCCAATTCCCCAGAGAAAAGGTGGATTTACAGAGAGAGTATGATTCAGCTATTCTCATGCAGAAACGGGGTATGTGGGGGGGGGGGGGGGGGGGGGGGGGCGGCTCTACTGTTACCAGGTCAACTTTAAATTATTCTGGTCCTCCACTTTCTGCTTTATAATAATGAATTTAGTTGTATTTCGGCCAATTGCAGCCAGCTAATGTATACCTGAACCTTAACTGCTAAATTAATGGTGTAACTGAAAATTAGGGCTGCAACGATGAGTCATCGATCATTAATTAATCGGTCAAGTGATTTTGAATGTAAGCAAATAGACGTTTATTTTCTATAGAAAACAGAGTTCTCAGGCTCTTCAAGTAGAGATGTTTTATTATTTTCTGTTTTATATCAATGTAAACATTATCTTGGGCTGAGAGAAACTAGGATGCTGGCTCTTCAATAACTGACTGAACCATTAATCGAGTAAACATATTAGGCAGATTCATCGATAATGAAAATAGGAGTCAATTGCAGCACTATTACAATTAGAAAAGCTATGATTATTCTACTGACATTTTCCCAATTAATAATTATTAATCATGCTTGAATATGAGGGGTAGATTGACTAATTGTCAAGTTGTTAAGCTTTCAAAAAAAACATTTTGTCTAATCATTGGAAACCTGTGACCCAATACATGATGCCCCTAACACCAATAAGATGTTCACTTTTCTGCCCACAAGGGGACAGTCACTGCCCACTCCTTTACTCAAAGAACTGTGCTGGTAAATAAATGACTATAGTTCCCAGATTACAAATAAACCCTTTAACAATGTGTTAGGGGGCTAATAATGTTTGTGTTTTTGGTGGTTGTTGGTTGGTATCTATAAATCTTAGCAACACATTTCAGACTCACCATACTCTATCGCACAGTGCTGTGTGCAAATGTTAAGTGAATGAACACAAGAACACTTGATTTCATTGACATATCCCAGTTTAAGTTATTTGTCAATAGACCTTAATCAGAGCTGGTATATCTATAAAGCTCAGATGTGATAGGTGACCCTTTTAAATCTTTTCAAGGTATCATCTCAGGTGCATGAAACAAAGATAAACAGTTCTATAATAGGGAAAAAGTACCTGCACATGGCTTGTAGGAAAAGTGCAGGTGTTACTAACAACATTTCAAGTACTCAAGTGTACCAGTAAGCCATGGCTGTGTGGCATTGATCCAGCATTCACAACACAAGGACCCTGAGCTACTAGATGGAAGTCAGCCTTCATTCATTTTATTATTCGCACCTGATGTCAATATGTATTAGGTGAATCAGGCTTATGGAGTACTGCCAATATGTGGTAATATTCACTTCCCCATGTAGAAGCTAATTCATTCCTAAAACTGCATTCCATTGATTGCTTGTAAAAAAATGTCCAGCAAAGTGCCAATTCATCACAGCCCTCTTTCTATTTTTTTTTTATTTCCACAATGAACCGTAAAGAGACAGTAAACAATATTCCTCCCTGCTTTATGGAAGTGATAATATTTGAAAAACACAGCCGCTGTGAAGGAGAGGTCTGCTCCTGTGAATGAAGTTCATTTATTTTTGATGTATCAGCTGCCAATAAAGCTTATTACTAAAAACAGATGAGGAATGGCGCTTCAACTGTATAAGATCAATTCAGTAACGGGGCAGCTCACCACTTGTTCCCGTCACACAGCGGAAGATGTAATGGCAAGCAGTGTACAGCATACTTGATGCACAAAACACTTCAAAATACAGGCGCGATAATCTGATTTACAACTACTGGGAAGGTCTGCTGATGCTGTGAGCATTACCGGTGTGTAAACTCTGGCCTGTACATTACATTTTTCTTCACTACTGGACAGTTCGTAATGGAGACTGACAAGAAAGACAGAAGAGAACATTTATTCCCAAACCATCAACAAGTCAACACTGCACTTCATCACTTACCATGCACCACTGAACCTCCACTCTGTAAATATATACAGAGTATGCATGAGCGAAAAAGCACTCAGTTGGAAAGTAGAAACACAGACACCACATTTATTTAGACACTGTGGGGGATTATCTAAAGGATTAAACTACCAATTGGAGTCCTGCCCTTTTCATACATATTCAAGCTTTATTTTGGTCTGAGCTGAATCAAATCCCTGTGACTTTCTCCCTCAGCCCAGGTCACAAAACACAATGAATCTTGCTTCCTGGGGACAGTCTGGTCAATATGAGGCTGGACAGCTTTGATTTGTATGTCCTGCACCTCTGTCCTATTGGACCACTGGTCAATAGGCCTGTCTCCCCATTACCCCGGCGATTAATGTGGCGCGCTGCCAGACGCTACTGGCATGAATCATGGGTGAGAGTTCAACTGCAAACAAGGACGCCTTCCACTGAATCTTATAACAAAATGTAAGTTAGGATTAATGCCATCGGGAGCCTTGCTTTCAGTCTGTGATACACTGAGCAGAGCTGGTTTAATGTTGTTTTGTGTGAGATATTTATGTCTCTGAATGACGACCATTCAATTGGAAATACACCGTTTTGCTTTCTTTCAGGAGTTACATGAACAGCTCTAAACACACAATTTGAATCAAACGTGTGAACACTAGAACAGTGAGGTGCTTTTATGTTGTTTTATTTCTACTTCGTTAGATAATATCTGTATATAACATCCACACTTCACAAGAAAAGAAGGCTATACTACAAAGTTTGGGTTATTTTCAAGGTGGCTCTCTTTTAACCTGGCAGACTTAACCCAGAGTTTCAAATCAGAAATCAGCTAAACAGGACCATTCACTAACTAATTCCTAAGGTTAGGCATTATATATATGCACATTTGTTACATAACATTATTACAGCAAACAAAGCCATGCCGTTACAGTACACAAAATAGTATGCATTGTGTTGTTGTTTTTTGCCACTGCAAACCTATTTTAAAGAGGGTATTGAACATTTGTTGTTTTAGTTGTGTTTATCTAAAAAACTGTAAAATATCAAAAACAATTGCATCCTCCCTGTATTTTCAACATAACAATCTATCAGAAAAAAGTCTGTTTTGTTTTTATTTGCAAGGTCTTATATCATCTTACTGAACTAATGCATGAAAATGGTCTAGTGCTTTGTGACCAATTTTCTTACACTGGCTCTAAAAACAAGCGCTCTATAAAATCACAGCAGCATACATTAATAGTGCTCTAAAGCCTATTATTAATCAGTTCGACGTTTACTTGCATATTAAATGCAGTATTATTCCTTTAAACCACAGTGTTGCCATTTTGGATGATGTATTTATGCTTGGTTGTAAGTCCAGTTATTCTGCTGCTTTATTGCACCAATAGAAAACCAATTACAAAATGGGTCTTTTAGTAGGGGATTTATCATAAAAAATATTCAATCATTAAAAATCTGCAAGACTGCAAGTATTTTGAGTCAAGCCTTGCCACAGAGTTGTGAAAGTAAGGTCCTATTTTTTGTGAATTACAGGAAAGTCTTATGTGAGTCCAAGTCTCTAGTCTCAGGCTGACACCAACATGGCTCCACTGATAACAAATCAGAAACTAATTAACTTTATAATTAGGTAGGTACGTTTTTAAGTGACATATGCCCATTTTCCTGAAAATTCACTCGGGTTCATTGTGTCCTCAGCTATGGTCTTCATGATTCTTCAACAGAAATGTGTCATTCATGTCCATGAATAGAAGCACATTTTTATATAGTGGGTTGTTAAACCAAACTCTGCCATGCAGTTGGCCTCCACATTCATCCCCCACTGCTTCATTTTTAACAGCTGGTCAAGGTTGATAGCGAATAATATGCACTTTCCATTGATTTGCAAAGTTTTGCGGGGAGAAAATAACTCTTTTCTGGCAAGTTCTGTCAGGAGGGGGAGTGAATGAGCTAATATGCAGCAAGCAGCGAGGCAGCCAAATCCAAACTTTCTCTGGGATTTCAGTGAGTCAGCCAGTTGGTTACTGCTCTGGAAAACTAATTAGGATGCTTTTAGGGAGAGCAGAGGGGGAAAGTTCACTCCAATCACAAAGGACCAAGCATTGTTGCAGTCATTACATTTTCGTGTGAAATTGGTCTCTACTTTGTCCCAATTAATGCCAAAAAGAATACAATTCCAACCAAAAATGTAATTTTCTTGACATTCATTCACCTTGGAAAACAACGAAACACTCACACACATTATCATGTTCACTTGTCCAGATTCTATCAGCAAATTGTGGATATTGGAGCTTGCAGCGGGACAACGAGCAGCTTATCCAGATTGAGCTTTGCCTGGCGATTGTGGTTCAGTGGCATCAATCACATCTCTGGGGCTTTTTCTTCTTCTGGCAGAGACGTGCCTCTTCTCCTCTGACTGGCAACAGCAGTCTCCCCCTATGTAGAGACGTGCCAGAGATTTCTAAAGAGGTGCTGTTCTTTCAATCCATCATCTCGTCAGAGCCAACATAACACCTTTTCATTAGTGCAGAGTGCTTCAGAGGAGAGGCGCCACTATAACTAAAATAAGCAGGGGGGGGGGTTACTTTCATTCCAGGCAAAAGTGGTAATGACATGTGAATGGGTTTATTGATCATAAGCTTTTATTTGCTTTTAAGGAACGATAAGAGCGGCTCAGAAGCATGCAGCCTTTCATTCACTATTTCGCCTGGCTTTCTTGCAGATAGTCGACTTAAAAAACCTTAGAAAGAGCCTTGGCTGTACAATTCATAAAAATCATTACACTTGCAGCTATATATATATAAATAAATATATGGGACGTAGGATGTCTGCGTTAATGGAAACTGGAATAAGTAACTGCAAAGCACAGCATCATTAAGTATAAATATATATATCTTCAGGGTTTAATTTAATTAATATATTTCATCTTCTCTTGATGAATCAACCTTTTATCTCTTTAAGAAGAAAAATGGTACTTCCAAAGTGTACGTGTCAAAACTTGACCTAAAAATGATTAACATTGCCACCATAACAGAGTCATTCTCCATGACTGATTTATGTAATTTTCCCTACTGTCATTTAAATTATCAGGGGAAGTG